ACACACACACACACACACACACACACACACACACACACACACACACACACACACACACACACACACCATATATCCCAGACCCAAAAGTTAAAGCTTGTACTACAAATCTTCTGAGCTAAAATTAGGAGTATTTCTGAAGTAGAGGAAAGTAAAGAGTTTTTAGGATGCAAAATATAGTTCACAAAACTTGAAAAATATATGTACTATTCTTCATTAGTATTATAGTCTTTGGTAATCAAATGACAGTTAAATAAGTAGATAAAGCAATAGACTAAAAGAATACATTTGTAAAACACATCTGACAAATGATAATATATAACTCAATTTATAATGATACAGAAAACTTATAAGGTTTTATGGTCTATTGACAAAATAGGACAGTTGAGTATTTCCATGTATATTTATGAATATGTATGTATAAACTAGGCACTGGTGGTTGGTTCATGCCTGTAATCCTAGCTACTCGGAGGCCAAGATCACAGAATCTCATCTTGGTTCAAAGCCAGTCAGGGCAGACAAGTCCCTCAGACTCTTACTTCTGATTACCAAAAGCTGGAAGTGCAGCTGTGACTCAAGTCACAGAGCTCTAACCTACAGAAAAAAGCTTAGGGACGGTGCTCAGTTTTGGAGTTCGAGCCCCAGGTTTGTCATAAAAGACAAAGAAAAGAAAAAGAATGTGTAGGTGATATAACCACATGAGAAGATGCTGTAATTGTTCATCAGTAGGAAGAACGAAACCACGAAACACCTTCTATACTTACTAGAATCTAGAGCTGAATTAACCTGAGTGTTGGTTAGGATTCTGAGCAGCTGTAATTCTTATACATTGCTTATGGAAAAATAGGGACTTTTCTATAAAAATACATATGTAATTAAGTTAGTGGACCCGGGGCAGTCCTAATTTCAGCTATCTGCTCAAGAGAAATGCAAATGTATGTTCACACAAGACCTGTACATGTATTTAAGAGCATTATTTTTAATTCCCCAAGTTTAGAAATAGTCAGATACTATCCAGTCATAATTGAATCAACAAATCATTGAACATCTTTGCAATACTTCTTAGCAACTCAAGGCACTGAGTTACTGACTAATATAGATTGATTTCAAAAGCCAAACGATAGGTAACGACAACTGCATTTATATAATGTTCTAAAAAAAGCAATGTTATACAGACAGAACACACTATTAGTTGTTTGGGGTGAGGGGAAACTTAAGGAAAAAGTACAGGAACTGATGGTAATACCTGGTATTATAGCTACAGGGGTAGTCGTCCCTATAGATACTCTGTAAATATTTTGAAACTATATATTTAAGAAGCATGACTTTTGCTACTGAATGTAAACTTCACTTTAATGAAAATCCCTAAAATGACCACACACACACACACACACAGGAACACAGGAAGACCACCACTGTATTTTATTTGTTTATTCAAAGGACTACTCACAATTTCATAATGCCTGCCACCTGACAAAAAAGAAACACCATATTTTTATATCTGAATACCGTATGTAAATGTCAGTTCTACAGGGACATGTTTTCATGTTTCAAGTTAGTCTGCTCTTATCTCTTTATAAAGAACATGTCATGCTCTGTGGCCTTCATTGTTTAAACATCATTATCATATTAAATGTTTGTCAATTTTATATAATAGATTATTTACACTTATACAGTGCCTTCAAGCTTGCAAATCACTTTCACGTACAATTATCAGTCTTAAAACTCCTGAAGAGCCACTCTGTTATTCATGTTTTACAAAGGAAGCTGAGGTTCCTTGTGGATTCTGGCCTTTTCAAGGTCATAGACCACAAAGAAGAATTGTAACTTGTGTCTTGACTTCCTTAGTCTAAGTCCTATTATTTTCAGTAATACTAGAGAAGATTAAGTATTTAAACCATTCTAAAAAGCCATACTTTATTTTGTACTTTTTGATTTTTAGAGTATTTTAAATACATTTTCCCCTATTTTAATACTGATATTAATCAGAATTGATTTATAATTCTAGTGTTATTGCTTTGTAACTAAGGTTTACTGGAACACAACCACATTCATTGTATAATAGGTCTATGGCCATATTTATACAACAATAGCAGGTTCTAACGTTTGCAAAAAAGACTAAGGACCACAAGCTTAAGATAATTACTATATCATCACTTACTGAACCCTGAATTAAATGATGTTCACAGATGCTGAAAAGTTTACTCCAACAGGCAAGATTATCTAGAATTTTCTCAGTCTACAGAACAGTGTTGTTCTTTGTGTCTTTCTACATGTTGGACCAATAAAATAAATAAGGAAAAAGAAGTTTTCCTTTACTTTTCATTATGTATTAGCGAAAGGCCAAGTGAAATAATAAGGCCTTTTTTTTTCATGATTAAAAATTTTTAAACCCATTAACTATGTGAATGTATTTTTTTTTATGTATTAAAGGTTCTTTTTTTTAAGGTCCAAATGCAACAAAGTATGTGTATTATCATTTGGGTGAAAAAAGGAAGCTATATATGCATACATTTGCTTACAGACTCATAAAAACCATCACTTTCAAGACACACAAAACGTAACAGTAATATTTATTTAAATATTCACTTAAATATTTATTTAAATATTAACTAAATGTAGTTGAAATTGAGTTTCAATAAGATCAAGGAAGATGGCAGATGTGGTGGAAATAAGGCTTTGTTATTTTCTTTACATATTGTATAATTTTAGAACCAAAAGTCCAATAGATACACAAAAGATAATATACTGTTCTTTGTGGTTTGCAAGTATTTTCTAAATTATAAATGGATTGTCTTTCCTCTGCAGGAAGGAAATCTGATCCACTTTGTTGACATGGACCCACAATACTGTAGTTTGACTTTAATTTCTCACTGTCTTCTAAATTTACAATTTTACATGTAATTTTCATGGGTGAAAACAAAATCACAGTATTATGTTTTTTCCCCAGACGTAAGGATGTAACCCAGCATAAGGTAAATCCTTTACCACTGAGTTATATCCCCTTCGTGTTTCTTCTGAAAACTTTCAATTCTACTCAACAATTGTGATTCCACTAAATCATTTTACTTAGAACAAATGAACACATACCGTTGTCTTCCTCAATTCCAACAGGGCCTGCTTGCGGCGTCTCCCCATTCTTTAAACAATTATGGATGTATGTGGCCTTCCATCGCGCATACTTTCTATGCTTTACATTCTAAAAGATAATATTTTTATGTTGATATTAGACCATGGTAAACAAGCAAAAACAAAGCAACAATCACATAAGTCTTTATTTCTGAGATAAAGCCTATTTTTATATGCTACAGTTCTGATGATTTTACCAACTCTCTAGGACTTAACAGACTTCCTGAAAGGTAAAGTTACTACAAACACATGCCCGATGCTCCTGTATGGTGCTTTTACTGAACCCACTTTTATTTGTCAATAATTATCTGAACTGAATAGATGCAATTCCTTTCAGATGATGGACATTCAAATTCATTCTCCTTCCTCATTCCTTTTCCTTAATTCACAAAGCTGCCATTTATTACCTGTGGTTATCTTCAGTCCTTACATTAAATACCAGTTTTCAAGAACCATGACTCCTGTCATCGAGACTATTTTCTTCTGTTAAGGTCTCCATTATCTTTACTGCTGATTTTGTTATTATTATTATTTTTGGCCAATCCTGGAGTTTGAATTTATGGGCTTGTGTTTGCTCAACTGGTATGCTTGCTCAACTAGTGCTCTACTACCAGATGAGTATTTTGCTGGTTATTTTGGAGATAGGAGTCTTGTGGACTGTCTACTTGGGCTAGTTCCAACCTGTGATCCTTGTTTCCTGAGTGGCTAGGATTATAGTCATAAGCCATTGGCATCTGGCTTCTCTATTGCTCTAAACTTATAACTAATCTTTGGACAAATAGCCTGCTGATATGACATCTTTACCTGAAGACCAGATGCCATCAAACTTAATTTGCCCCACTATTCTTAATTTTCCCTAAGCTTTCGTCATGCCCCAGAACTTCATTCTCTGAAGTTAGAAATATGTGAGTTATGTTTAGCACTTCTCTCTTACCTTGTCTCTCCCACTTAATTTATCAGGAATTCAGTTCATTTTTACTTCTGTAATGTATCTTCAATTGGTCTCCATTTCCCCATTTTCTCTGCAATATTCCATTTATGCATCCTTTTATTAATATTTATGCCCTAACCCTTACTGTATTTCCCTCACTCAATACTCAAAAGACATCTTTCTAAATATACAAGCCATTCTTATCCATCTCTAGTGGTTTCCTGATGTGTCCATGTGTGTACATTCCCATCACCAAATGGGCTACCAGGGTCCACCTGTATTTGTTTTTGACTGTTCAGCTTCCTGTCAATGTTCCTATTCTGTTGTCTACCTAGTATCTAGCTTCAGGTACACATTTCTATCTCTAAACATGCCAAGGTGATACAATCTGCCTGTTCCTTTTGTCATCACAAAATAATGCCTCTATAATCAATACAGTGACCACATCAAATCCTTAAAAAGGTTTTATCACTCTTCCCAATCTAAGAACATTCGTCTTTTATCTTTTCCTTAATACAACACAGTATATAAACACATACCCATGGATACTCCCCTAAACACAAATTCATATATACTCTAAAATAAAAGCTAATCAAAAGCTCAACTAAATATTGAAACTGTTAATATCAAGCATTTAGCTATATTCCAGAACACAACAGCTCCTCAACAAATATATAATTTTCAATATAGGATGGCTTGATGCTCATGGAAGTTATTCTCATAATGTAACGCATAGGATATGTAATGGACTACCGAGATTAGGGCATTCAATTAAAACCAGTATGCAGGTACACAGAACCATTTCCAGAATTATCATATTGTTCATTCTTTTCTTTCCTTTCATTCCTTGACAGTAATTCTTTGACTCAGTATTTTTAATTTTTCAAATAACTTGAACAAATGCTAATCTTCAAGCTAGTATGATCATTTGAATTTACTATCTGCCAAGTGGCACTTGAAAATTTTCATTATCACGTCTTTGTTCCACCAGTTAAAATAAAGGTAATTAATTAATGCAAACTTTTAGTGGCTTAACATTTTCTTCTTGAAAAGAAACCGAAGTAAATAAAACCCTTAACTAATGAATAGGAAATACAAAATAAATCAAAACATTAATTCTGACCTTAGAAAGCTAATTATTCAGCTAGGACGCTGAAGCACGAGAGAATACTATTATTAAAAAACACACACACAAGTAGTCAGAAAGAGTGTAAGATATATATTTTATACTCTTATACTGAGTAGAAGATACATATTGGTAGAAGATACATATTAAGGGCTAGTTGGATGAGGAATATCAGGCTGAAACAAGATGAGTTTCAGATGACCATTTTATGGTACTCACTACAGGTTATTAATCACTTCCACACACTTCCACTTAAAATCCTGAAATGTCCATACAATAACCTAGACATACAGGGAAATTACACTTTACTTCCACTATTGTATCTGAGATATTACAGGACTAGCTGACTAGAAGGACACTTTATTCTGGCATTCAAAGCCTATTATAAAATCGACACTACTTCCTGTCATTCCTATTATTTTCCTTTATCTACCAAAGCTTTCTTTTCCTCAAGATCAGCTCCAACATTTATTCTCTCTAAGCCTCCCTGATTGCTAAGCAGTTAACATTTATTTTTTAAATTTTATTATAAAGTGATGTACAGAGGGGTTACAGTTACACAAGTAAGGTAATGGGTACATTTATTTTTGAATAGTGTTATCTCCTCCCTTATTTTCTTCCACCTTCCCCCCAGAAGTTAACATTCATTACTTACTCAAGGTAGGCACTCTGCTATGCACTGATAATGACAACAGAAGAGGTCTACATGAGTATTGAGTCCAATGTAAAAGCCAGCAATAACTGCTATCTCTGATTGTTGTTCTTCTTATTTCAAATTCCTGTGTTAGGCAGCTTTCCTTTACTGTAATGAAATATCTGGGACAATCAATTTGATAGCAAAAGAGTTTATTTTGGTTCACTGACTTACAAGCTGTCTGTGATGTGGCACAATGGCATTGGTTTGGCCAGTGGTAAGGCAGAACAGTGTTCTGGGAGTATGTAATGGAACAAAACTACTCACCTCACAGACAGTCAGCAAAAGAGTAAGACAGGAAGATGCAAAGACAAAGGTGCTAGGTAGGGTCTTGTCTCCTGTGTGGGAACACTTCCTAAGACCCAAGGAGGCTTCCACAAAGCCTCATCCAGTGAAGGCTCCACCACTTTCTACTAGTTCTTCTTGAGAATCAAGTATTTAACCTTTGGAGATGTTCATCAGAACTATACAAGTACATTATCAGTTTTTTTTTTCTGTAAGGTTTTACAATCCCATCATTACAGGGTAGAATGCCATTACAAAAGTAAAGAAATTTATCCAAGGCCATACGACTTTAGTAGTAAAGTCAATTACTTTATTCAGGATATAACACTTCAATTTATAATTCATATGGAAATGAAATGGGCTTTAAAAAGTCAGCTACTTCATGTGTACTAATAGAAGCTAAATATTGATAGGCATAAAGAGGATCATTTGAGACTAAATAAATGCTCCAATAATGCTTAAACTAGACACTTTGGGAAGCTTTAAAGAATAGGACACATCTTCCTCTTCTGAAGTAACTTAATTCTGTCTCTAGATTGAATGGAAAAATTGTAATGACTAGAAGATTCTTTTAGTCCTAATTTCAAAATACAAACAAGGTAGAGAAGTTTAAACTACCTTGGGTTCCTTTATTAGTTCATGAATTTTAAGAAAATATTAGTTTAAGCTGAAAAGTTCATTTCAGTTAACACATTAAAAAAATTCCCAATAGTAGATAAAGCAATAAAGTTTGATTTTTATTTCAGTTTCTAAGACATCCTTGCTTCAGCACCCTGTCATGAATATTTAGTAGAATTATTATGACTGACAGTTATAATTCAACTAATGTATATTTTCATGCTGTTTTTTTAAGATTGCTGGTTATTACACAGTATTTTAAGAGAAAAATTTCAAGATGCCAATATTTTTAAAATCTATTAGCTCCTTTTGGCTGATTATACATCCCTTCTGGGAAACAGGAATGGCAAAAAAGAACGTTCGCTCTTGTCCCTGGCCTCCAAGTTCCTGTTTTCAAATTGAGGAAAATCACTGACAACTGCAAATTGGAGCCAGAGTCGGCAGTAATACACAAATGTTTTCATGTAATGTTTAATTCATTTGCACTTGCTACCCCTCAGAATGACGTGGCAGGAAACAGTGAAGTTAGGTCAAGTGTTCTCAAACTTAGTGCATGTAAGGAAGACACAAAGATAAAATTTTAAATGTAATTTTTAGACCCTAAATATGGAAAATTCACTACAAATCATTTTCCAATAGCATATCAAGGAAGCATCTTGATGGAGAATACTTTGTAAGGTTGAAGTGTCACAAATTTCAGGTCTTAGTTTCCTTTTCCTATTAATTGATCTCTCATTGAGGTAATGGCTTCAACTGGTACCACATGCTGCCAACATGAACGTTTCCATCTGTGTTCAGACCTCTTCTGAACAGTAGGACTTAGAGTTTGACATCTAACTCAGCATGTCACTCACTTGTTTGATAGCTTTCTTAAAATTCAACACCAATGCCAAATCCTCCCCCACTAAATTTGATCGTGTAGTCCCACTATGTCGATATATGACAACTTCATGTAAAAACATTTTTTCTTTATTTTATTATTATTTTTTAGACAGTCTTACTATGTAGGCCAGAATGGTATGGAACTTGTGGTCCTCCCAACTGCTCACCAAGTGCTGGGACTACAGGCACATACTACTTACTATACCTGGCTTGCAACCTCATTGTAAAGTTGCAACATTGTCATTGAAGTGCTTTTTATCTTTTTCAGTTCATATTATTAGGTTGCACATGATGTTGGTTTGCCCCAATATTAGTGGTTTGAGGTTTTTAACAAGATTCTGTTATAAACTATTTTCCTTTTTAAATTTATTTAAGCAAGCTGAGAAAAGATCATTACATATCTACTGCAAAGAACCTCATTTGTTCTTTTGTCATTTATTTACTTTATTGTAGTGAATAGCATGGAGCCACTGATTCTTATTTATCATCCATTACTATTGGCCTTAATAATATATATATATATATATATATTTT